TTGCCCAGTTTGCCAGATGGTGAAGCATGCGAGGCACGCACCATACGGTCTCTTGACTCCGATTGAGGCCCGCAGACAAGCCTTTCGGCGACTGGTCCATCGACTTTGTGACCGGATTACCAGATTCTCAAGGGTTTAACGCAGTCATGGTCTGCATCGATCGACTGACTCGAGTTGCACATTTCATTCCGACGACAAAGTCTGTCACGGCGGAGGAATCGGCTCAGTTGTTCCTGGAGAATGTCGTGAAGCTGCACGGCGTTCCGGTTCGTGTCTTGTCTGATCACGGACCTCAGTTCATTGCAAAGTTCTGGAAGAAGCTATGGAAGGCGATGGACATCGACCTCTCCTACTCTAGCGCGTATCATCCACAAGGAAACGGTCTTGTGGAACGGGTGAATCAAGCGCTGGAGTCATACCTGCGAGCGTACGTCAGTGAAGCCGAGGACTGGTCAAGACTCCTCTGGTTGTGCGAGTTCACGTACAACAACACGGTGCACGCGGCGATCCAGTGCAGTCCTTTCATGGCCATGTACGGGTTTCAGCCGGAAATGGATGAGATTAACTTCAAGTCGCCGAAGGCACCTCAAACGGCAGCTGATCGCGTGGAGGAACTCAAGGCACTGCGTTTCTCGTTGAGAGCGAATATTCACCGAGCAAACATGTCCGCAGCCAAGTTCTATGATCGACACCACAAGGCAGCACCTCCGATCACGGTGGGCAGCCTAGTCACAGTTCTGCGTCGCAGTCAGACGGCCGAACAACCGTATGCCAAGCTGGCGTACGTACGCGATGGTCCCTTCAAGGTCGTGAAGCAGATCAATGAGCGTGCCTTTGAGCTGGATCTAGGTGAAGCATCCAGCAAGTCCCGCACCTTCCATGTATCTGTCTTGGAATTGTTTGTCGCTGATGACGTGGAAGGTCGGATTCGGCGGGTCCTGCCTCCTGTCAAGGACTGGGACGGAACAGTTCGACATCGAGTCGAGGCGGTGATTGATTCGACTCGTCACAGCGAGATTATGTACTATCGCATCCGAAGGGTAGGCACCACTGCTCGTGAAGACACCTGGGAGCCGGCCAAAGACGTGTGGGCTCGCTTCCCCAGGGCCGTTCGTTTATTCCATCTGGCCGAACCTTCTCTGCCACAGCCTACGCGAGAGGAATTCGATATCCGTTTCACGAATGGATCGCCGTCGGTCCAGCCGAATCCTGTTCAACCCACGGCTAGTCGTACGCCCGCTGCTCCAGCTGGCCAAGCTCCACCTCAAGCTAGTGCGTCACCCGTTGCTACGCGTTCAGTGGCAACCCCATCTGCAGTTGCTGCACTCCGTAGCAACCCCGCCCACAGCTGCTGCAAGTCCCGCAGCAAGTCCACTTGTCAAGTCGGCATTGTCAGGTTTCTGGATGCAACCTGCCACTTTGAATGATTTCTTGCATGTTTTCTCACCCCTGTCTTTCTTCCTGATTTTCTCCTGTCTTGCTCTGATTTGTCTTGCCTGATTTTCTGATTTGATGATGACAAATAGAGAGGCGTCTCTAATTCCGAACAGAATTTTTTGACTGGGCCACCATTACGCCTCTGATTTTAATTCCGAACAAGAGTGTTTTTGAGCCACTAGTCGATGTAGAAGCCTCTAATCCACTCCCTTGCTTGAAATTATAGTAAAACCAGTCTTATTTTATTTGATGGAGGCAAGTAGGCGGGCGACAGAGCTGTTCTACGAGTGTCGGTGCAGACAGTGAGCGCTGGTCCTGTGGGAGGAGGCAAAGCGCACTGAACAGCACCGCAGCCCTGGACAGCTCCTGCGAGCATGTCCGGGCGCCCGATAGTTGATACAGATGGGAGTATGTGGGACTCTGATGGATCATAGAGTCGTTCACGTGCGGCGCAGTGACACAACAGAGCGGCAGCGAACGGGGCGGTCAGTCGAGCCCGACCCATCCGTGGAAAATTTTTCGCATGTTGCGTTCCAGCCCCGCGATTATGCTCCAATTCAAGAAAGAACGATGGTTATGCCGATTGGCCATTTTTCAACAAACGGAGCTGGGGGGCTTCGGAAAACGGACCGAATTCAAGGGCTATGGGGCAACCGGCCGCCGGTTCCGCGACCTGGCTGGAAACTTTTGGTC